TGGCTTTCTTGGTTCCGCTTATTGTGCTTTGTGTTAACTACTCAATGATTTTGCGGACGGCCTGGATTCAGTTCAAAAAAATGCAACACAGTATTGTGAATACCAGCAGCAAAGAAGATAAACGTAAACAGAAGAGTGTTACGCGGGACTTCAAGGCCACTAAGACCTTGGCTATAGTTCTGTTAACCTTTACTATCTGTTGGGCACCGTTTTTCATCATGTTCACCATCCAACAATACGACCCCCTATTCCTGGCGGGCCTTCCACAAGATCTAGGCAACGGTATTATTTACACCGTCTACTTTGTGCTACCAAATATAAACAGTGCGTGCAATCCAGTGATCTATGCATACTTTAACAGTGACTTCCGGCGTGTGTTTAAAAGGTTAATGTTCTCTGCCTGCGATAAGGATCTTCGTAACTATGGAGGCCGCACTAAGAGAAAAAGCTCGTTAACTAGCTTTTTCCAAAGCACTTTTGTAAGACGAGGAAGTCCACCGACGCCCACGGACGATGGAAATCACAATTACAATCACATTCACAGTCCGTCAAATAACCATGATGAGAAGGCCTTATTCATAAATGGAGACACTGTGATTACAGAAGTGTGACACTGGCCAACGTTTGTGAGGAGTTATAATCAAAGAAGTCAAACAACATGACCCCCAGAGATCATGTGACATGGTCACGCAAAAGCATCAAACAAAATGGAATATGAGGGATCAAATGAGGCCACACTGAAACGAGCTAAAATCTATGTTGTGCAGATCATTACGGTGAAAATAACGATCAAGCTACGTTAAGTGGCAAAGGAATTACTTCTGTCACCGGTAATGAAAAGAGGCATGAGCCGATATGAGTCATTAAAAATGGCCATACAAATCAACTGGAACATTCTGAAATTATCACTATCATTACCATAGTATAGAACAATATTACAAGTCGTTTGATACTTAGTAGGTTTATCATGCTGCTATGTTACATACCTTAAAAAGCATTACCAAAGGGGTAAATCCAGTTAACTGCATCCATCACTTTAAGTTTGTTTCAGTAGCATGGAAATACATCCAATCAAGTGAACTGTGTTATATGAGAGTTTATCACTGACAGAAAGGATGCCTAGGATAAGTAGAGGAATAAATAGATAATAAGGTTGCATTCGATTGGGAAATCTGGATTCAGATTTTGAAACCCGGATTTCGGATTTTGCAATCAAAGGCGAAATCCAGAAACAGATTTCACCTCTGAGAAATCCGTCCTCAGGGTGGATTTCAATTAAGAAATCCAAATCCGGATTTCATGGATTTCCCTTTTACCGTTCGATTGGGAAATCTGGAAAAGGATTTGCAAAACTATTCTCGTGAACAGCGTTCTTCTTTTTACTTATTATGCAAACGCATGCAAGACCGCTGTTCTTAAGGACAGTTTTTCCAATCCTTGAAAGGAAATCCAAAAACAGATATCCAAGGGTTTAAATCCGTTTTCGGATTTCACATTCGAATGAAAATTCAAAATCCAGATTTCAAATCTAAAACCAGATTTCCCAATCGAACTGCCTTCACTATTTTTCATCATTATTTTAGGCATAATGCTTCATATAGTGATACATACAGAATATAAATGCTACAAAAAGGGTTGCACATGTGAAGAGGTATTCTTAAATGAAGTACTCTAGACTTAAAACATTACACACCTATACTGGAAGGGATTAAAAAAAAAACACAAACTTGCAACCCATTTCTAGAGCTAATTATATACTCAATCAATAATCCCCTTAGTTTGCACTAGTCAGACGTTCACAAGACAATTACGCAAAAAAAAATGAAAAAGCAAGACAGCTGTCTTTAACTCTTGGTCGCAAAAAGTCTTTCTGGTCCACAGTATTTGACTGACCATAAAGTCATGTTGATTGTGCACATAAGTTTGCGCCCTCTCAAATGCAAATGAAAGAGAGGATAACTTTTTGCTATCTTACTCATTAGAGCTTTGTAAGGAGATACTGGGCGTGATCCATTCAACCAAAATTCAGACCAGTCTAACCGTGAAAACTGTCCCACCTCAAAAGGTGGACCAGTTTTTTTGAAACTTTTCCGCTTGGACTGAAGCGATCCATTGAGTTTTGGACCAAAATTTCCAGAAATTTTGGTTGAATGGATCGTGCCCATCGTATACACAACGGTCATCAGAAAAAAGTGAAAGAATTGTATATTATTAAAAGATAGATACATGTCACAGCTGCTGTATAGCACATTAGTTATATATATTAAATATATTAGTGTACATAGCATTTTTTCAAAAAATATATCAGTCAGATTGCCTCTTTGTGTTAGCAATTTTAGTTCCTTTATTTTTGAATAGCACATTAGTTATATATATTAAATATATTAGTGTACATAGCATTTTTTCAAAAAATATATCAGTCAGATTGCCTCTTTGTGTTAGCAATTTTAGTTCCTTTATTTTTGTTACATGTAGTGTCCAATTTTAAATTGTCATAATGAAACAGAGAACCTAAATTGCATGTTATCAGTCTTGGAAACATTATTTTCTTGGACACACAAAGCCAAAATTGGTGCGGGTCTGATCAAGCTCAAAACCTCTTCTTGTTATTCTTCAAGTTTATAAAAAGTTGTATCGTCCATGGCTGGCCATATACAGCTGTAAAGTGTTCAAAGAATGTAATGTTTGAAGATTTTCCACAAATGGAACAGTCCATTATCTTGTCATAGACATGCACCTTACAGAAGGCCTGATTTGAAGAGGGCTTTTCTTGACTTTTTGAGCTCCCAACCACTCCTCTGACCCTTGGTGAAGGGCAGGATTAAACAGATACCGATAGGCCATTTCCAAGTCCTAAATACCTTCACTTTCAAAGGAAAGTAAAACCTTTCTTATGATTATGACTTTAATTTACATTTTCATATCAATGGCTTCGCACTTGGCCTCAGGCCATCCCCCTTTTTTTTCGTTAAGCGCCAAATGCATTTCCTGATATTGGGTCCGTCGGTCGGGATGAAAAAAAAAAACCTAAAAAAAATCACAAGAAGTCTCGGAATAGGAGGCCCTGGTATCCCGGGACGATGTTAAAAGTTAACAATCACATATTTGGATTATGAAATTGCACAGTATACTGTAAAAACTGTTCATATTTTTCTTCCTGTTTTTCTCAATGCTGTTACTATGCTCATTTTTCAGATTAAAAGAATTATTTCAAGTGAGAAATGGATTAACTGCCTAGTTATTTATTATTTTTTTTTGGAAAAAAATGCCAAAGATTTGGGTCGGTTGGACGAAGGCAAACGGAGAAAAAAAAGAGGATGGCCTCACTTTGAAATATGGGCTTGGGGCAATTGAACTTGGAAACGATCTATTCAAGAACCTCGTGACTGGGTTTTTCTAAAAGAGTACAAAAAGTCCGTCTCTTTTAAGAACACGGAAATGAGATTCCTTCCAAATCACTTTACTTTTCAATGTTTATTTGAAGATTTTACATCAGAATAGACCTTGTCACAGTTTTCAACGCCATCTCGCCGAGTAGGCAAACCCGTGAGAAATTACAGTGTTTGTATGAGAATCTAATTTCAAATAATTTCCGTAAAACGACTCTTTTAAAAAAATATATGAACTGTAAACTAAAGCTTCACTCTTAAGGATTCTACTGAAAAAATTTGAGGTCGTTACATGCGCTAGAAGAACTAGAACCTTTTTTAAAAATTTTCTATACATTTGTCTGTAAAAATTTCCCGGGAAAAATTGCAGACAAATATATGGAAAATCTAAAACAAGCTTCTGAAGAAATTTAAGCATAGTAACGGCCCCCAAAATTTGTTTGTAAAATACTTTGCTGTGTAGCTTTAGTTTACAGTTCATATTTTTTCCAGAACAGCCGTTTTACGGAAATTATTCGACATTGGATTCTCATACAAACACTGTAATTTCTCACGCGTTTGCCTACTCGTCAAGATGGCGTCGAAAACCGTGACAAGGTCTATTATCAAGTTCCCTGCCTAACATGGCATCAGAGACATACGGTGATACCCCTGCATGTGCTCTATTCTTAATCATGCTATTTTCCCCACTGCCAGTGTACAAGAAATGCAGACTACAGACTAAGAAACTGTCAGGTAAACAATGTCATGTAATGCTCTCAAAACTATGGAAGACTTAAAGTTTACAATAGATATTTTTTGCAGAACAGCCGTTTTACGGAAATTATTCGACATTACATTCTCATACAAACACTGTAATTTCTCACGCGTTTGCCTACTCGTCAAGATGGCGTCGAAAACCGTGACAAGGTCTATTGCAGACTGAAAATATATACCAGACATTTACCTTTGCTCGTCAACAAGCTGCAGTAGCTGCTCAATTTCCCGCCAAGTTTAAACCGAGGCTCGCATGGCTTAGCCCCAGGGCCCACGCGGCTGACCTACTTGTAATTTTGATGGGTTTGGGGGGGTCTTGAGAAGGCAGTTTCTTTCACATTTCTTCCTATTTGCGTACATAAATACGCATAATTTAGGCGAAGCGAAGAAATTCATTTGGACACCATCCCAGGCGAAGATACTTACCTTAGAGGTGGGACTCGCCCTGCCTTTCCATGATGCAAAGTCAGCTTTGAAGAGAGTACAAGTAAACAAATATTCCTCTCATCACAATCTCTAACTTTTTAAACATACCCTTCCCTATGATATCAGTAAGGAATAGAGAACGAAAACGCGCCAACCCATAATGAATTATTGTACAAAGATTATATCTTTTATAAGGGAGCTCTGACCACTTGATGTATTTGCTCCCCTTTTGGCTAAAGGCTCCCGAACAAGTTCTAGGCTAGGTTGATGAAAAGGAATCTTTCCGCGCGCGGCGTGGCCGCTCCAATTTGTCCCCATTCCATTGTTTCCGCACGCTTTCGTTCCCCTGCGCCAGCCTTCGAGCATTTTACAGCCTAGACTTTCTCCAAGTCCTCCGCTTCGCATTTCCGGTTCCGGCAGTTGGCCCTAGCGCGAAGGACGAGCTCTCACTCTCTCGTTCGCTTATCATTACTTATCCTAAGTTTCTCATTCTCACTGTTCACGTAACTTCCTTGCATAGGACGCTTCGAGACGTGACTGCGTAGGGAAGGCAAACTTCACGCAAAATTACCAACAATTAACCTGCCTGTTTTAAATTTTTTTTTTTTTGGTCGTGCACAAGTGCACATAACGCGAGGAAATAGGCAGGATGAAACTATACAAGCAAATTACAAAGACTGACTACAGCACGAATAACAAAGTAATTCAAACAAGATGGATTCCTTTCGAAAATGGTTCTCACAAAGAAATTGTGCAAGACATGCGACAGGTAAACCACAATTTAAGCTACAGTTATTTTAGTTATTATTGCACGAAGAGAGCGAGTTATTAAAAACATTGACGAAGAAAGCAAAGTGTTTTTGCACCTTTAAGCTGTTGTGTCGTTGGCCATAATTCATTTTTTTTAACAGTTATCATTAAGACAATCCTTATTGACCAATACTTTTTACTGTCATTTCCACAACAGCAATGCTGCACTGCTAAACTAAAAGCGACATTAACTGGAAGTCTGGAAGTTGCTATTTAAACGCTCAAATTTCCTAAAAAACGATACGAGGAAACATACTTATCAGGGCATAAGACTATTTCCACTTTATATTCAGAAAAAGGTTTCCATTTTCCCCTTTCGTGCGCGGCTTAATGCATAACATGCGAACGGCTTACTTCAGGTTATTGTCAGTAATTCTGAGTAATTGTCTTAGTCCGCGGTCCGTTCGAAATTTTCAGTAACCCAACGATGAACCATTTTTCTCAGTGCTTTGTGTACCAGCCAATTGCCGAAAAAACAGCTTTCTCAGTCCATACATCTCTAACTAACTATGTTGTCTTTTCAAAAAGTTCTCCAGTGCCCTGATAAAAAGCAATCTCTCCATTCAGCTCATTTTTTTATTTTTCGCGAGTAATAAAGAACAAAGTCTTTGTTAAAACCGACACACAAATCCGTGTAATACGTTGCATCCTAATACTATTTCCAGTAATTGAATCAGTTAGCCAGTCACTTACTTTCACGGAAATCGGTGGAATTCTCACATCTCGGAATAATATTTGGTTCTGCTCGCGGCTGCAATTGAGTAGAATTTAATTTTAACAATACAAAAGAAAAATCTTTTCAAGAGGAAATCCTTTTCAGGTGTTGCAAGAAAACCACGCCAATCCATTGTAATGGTTAAGCCTTAGGCCATGTATCAGTCTAACACTGTATCGCTGTCATTGGAAACCAAAAAAGGCATGAACGGAAACAAATTCGCATTGCATTCAAAACTCTGAACTGCTGACAAGAACCACTTCAGTCGTGCAAGTGAGTGAGTTGGTGAGTTTGATTGTCAAGAAACGGCATCTTCGGCACATTTGTTATGCGATCAGTGAATATTTTTTGTATCAGTGATCAAAGACGCAGCAAGGTAGTAGTCTTCCTTCATTGCGTTTGGTTTCTTATGCTTCCTTAACCGGCTTATGCTGCCTCGAGTGGTAGTTGAAGTACTACCGTCTCCTCTTGTGTTGAAAATGAATTTCTTACGCAAAAAGAGGAAACGAGTGTATTTCCTCTTAGTATGTTACAAAAAACAAATAATCGATGTTATCTTACTATTAATATTTTTTTGCAGGGCAACCCAATTTTTCATTAACAAGTTTGGTTTCTCCTTCCACCCTCTGGCACATAAATTACCACCCAGCTTTTGTATGGGGTGCCCATTTTTTTCTTACTTTTTGCTTGCTTTGACGCCATTAGAAGGGGTTCTGTATAGTTCTGATATAAAACGACACGTTATGAACATCATATAATTTCAACAGAATTCCTAGTGGATCCACTTCCAATCAATAAACGAAAAACCAACCAATAAATTTAAAACCAGCGTCCAAACAGGAATAAAAAAAATGTAAAAATATGGTGCGCTGCCGCATCTAAAGGAGCTCGGCACGACGCTGCGTTCTTAGAGAGCCTTCAGATTATTTAAAAAAGTAATTTTAGCAAATGAAGTTAAATATAATCAGATGGCTTTGAGCAAAAATTATTATCTTATCTAAAGATAAATAAAAGCCTGAGTCGTCATATGAACACGAAAAAAATGGATTTTACAAGGCATATGTAAAAACACGAAAATGAATACAGACGCAAAACGTATTGTATCCAAAACCGGCTGTGTGAATTGCCAAGCATCGGTTCATCGTGTAGCAACACGAATAATTATATATTCATTCACAAAATGAATGCTGAACAACAGGTAGAGAGAATATATTATAAATGAGACTACTGAGGGCAATTTTAAGGACATCGTAATTGTTTTCTAGTCTCCTACAACTGTAATAAGATGCTAGTACGGAACCAGAGCTCTGGTACGAAACTTTCTAGATGCGACATTAACGATTTGAAATTACTTTTAGAGATCATAAGCCAAGAGAAATCATTAAAAACCAAGTACGATCAACCTTACACTGTGTAAAAATCTCCGGGAAAATACCCTGCAAAAACTGCATTTGATGATTAATTTCTGCTTTTCTCACTTTCTCTAATAGGATTGGAAGACCCAACACTTAACTGAGAGGAAAAAAAAAGAATTTGTGACAAACCAGCAAAACTATATCATTCNGACAAGAACCACTTCAGTCGTGCAAGTGAGTGAGTTGGTGAGTTTGATTGTCAAGAAACGGCATCTTCGGCACATTTGTTATGCGATCAGTGAATATTTTTTGTATCAGTGATCAAAGACGCAGCAAGGTAGTAGTCTTCCTTCATTGCGTTTGGTTTCTTATGCTTCCTTAACCGGCTTATGCTGCCTCGAGTGGTAGTTGAAGTACTACCGTCTCCTCTTGTGTTGAAAATGAATTTCTTACGCAAAAAGAGGAAACGAGTGTATTTCCTCTTAGTATGTTACAAAAAACAAATAATCGATGTTATCTTACTATTAATATTTTTTTGCAGGGCAACCCAATTTTTCATTAACAAGTTTGGTTTCTCCTTCCACCCTCTGGCACATAAATTACCACCCAGCTTTTGTATGGGGTGCCCATTTTTTTCTTACTTTTTGCTTGCTTTGACGCCATTAGAAGGGGTTCTGTATAGTTCTGATATAAAACGACACGTTATGAACATCATATAATTTCAACAGAATTCCTAGTGGATCCACTTCCAATCAATAAACGAAAAACCAACCAATAAATTTAAAACCAGCGTCCAAACAGGAATAAAAAAAATGTAAAAATATGGTGCGCTGCCGCATCTAAAGGAGCTCGGCACGACGCTGCGTTCTTAGAGAGCCTTCAGATTATTTAAAAAAGTAATTTTAGCAAATGAAGTTAAATATAATCAGATGGCTTTGAGCAAAAATTATTATCTTATCTAAAGATAAATAAAAGCCTGAGTCGTCATATGAACACGAAAAAAATGGATTTTACAAGGCATATGTAAAAACACGAAAATGAATACAGACGCAAAACGTATTGTATCCAAAACCGGCTGTGTGAATTGCCAAGCATCGGTTCATCGTGTAGCAACACGAATAATTATATATTCATTCACAAAATGAATGCTGAACAACAGGTAGAGAGAATATATTATAAATGAGACTACTGAGGGCAATTTTAAGGACATCGTAATTGTTTTCTAGTCTCCTACAACTGTAATAAGATGCTAGTACGGAACCAGAGCTCTGGTACGAAACTTTCTAGATGCGACATTAACGATTTGAAATTACTTTTAGAGATCATAAGCCAAGAGAAATCATTAAAAACCAAGTACGATCAACCTTACACTGTGTAAAAATCTCCGGGAAAATACCCTGCAAAAACTGCATTTGATGATTAATTTCTGCTTTTCTCACTTTCTCTAATAGGATTGGAAGACCCAACACTTAACTGAGAGGAAAAAAAAAGAATTTGTGACAAACCAGCAAAACTATATCATTCAGCAAGGATTCAGTTAGAAAGCAGGAAGAGAGTTATCCTCAACCTACAACGCGTCAATTAGACTACATATCGTTTGTTCCGTTAAGAGCTGAGTAGTTCGCTGAAACGCGAAGAAAGGAAGCCAACAGAGCCTCAGCAGTGCCAGTACTGTAGGCCAACTATTCTCGCCGGAAAACTGTCAAGAAGTAAACATGAATAACACAACTCAAAACGACATGAACAATACATCTCAAACGACAAGTGACGACATAGGTGACGTGGAGAGAAACATTCTTCTGGCATTTTGCGCCATTGTGTTAGTGCTAACCGTGCTCGGAAACACTCTGGTATGCGTCGCCATTTATGTCGACCTGCGCTTGCGCAGCCCAACTAACTGGTTTATAGCATCGTTGGCAGTGAGCGACCTATTTTATGGGCTCGCAAGCCTACCTTTTCGTATTACATCCATGCTAAGAGGCATGCCTAATGCTGCAGTTTGCTCGGTATATGTTTGGATAGACATGATATGCGCCGCTGCCTCCATGGCTAACTTAGCAGTGATCTCAGTAGACAGATATTTAAAAATAACCAAACCATTTGCTTACCATAGAAATATGACAAAACGGCGCTCGTTTGGTGCTATTGGCGGCGTGTGGATTTACGCAGCCACTCTAGCGTCGCTGTCTATTATCAGGTGGCCTGGAGCGAAAGGCGTATTTCTGGATCCCGGGAATGAATTGTGCGTGAACGACAATACAATGTTCTATACTGTGGCTCACATTGTGGCTTTCTTGGTTCCGCTTACTGTACTTTGTGTGAACTACTCAATGATTTTGCGGACGGCCTGGATTCAGTTCAAAAAAATGCAACACAGTATTGTGAATACCAGCAGCAAAGAAGATAAACGTAAACAGAAGAGTGTTACGCGGGACTTCAAGGCCACTAAGACCTTAGCTATAGTGCTGTTAACTTTTACTATCTGCTGGGCACCGTTTTTCATCATGTCCACCATCCAACTATACGACCCCCTATACCTGGCAGACCTTCCACAAGATCTAGGCAATGGTATTATTTACACTTTCTACTTTGTGCTACCAAATATAAACAGTGCGTGCAATCCAGTGATCTATGCATACTTTAACAGTGACTTCCGGCGTGTGTTTAAAAGGTTAATGTTCTCTGCCTGCGATAAGGATCTGCGTAACTATGGAAGCCGCACCAAGAGAAAAAGCTCGTTAACTAGCTTTTTCCAAAGCACTTTTGTAAGACGAGGAAGTCCACCAACGCCCACGGACGATGGAAATCACAATTACAATCACATTCACAGTCCGTCGAATAACCATGATGAGAAGGCCTTATTCATAAATGGAGACACTGTGATTACAGAAGTGTGACATTTGAATCGAAAAAATATCATCTGTGTAGTGATGCTTCGTTACTGGCCAACGTTTGTGAGGAGTTATAATCAAAGAAGTAACATAACATCACCCCCAGAGATCATGTGAAATGGTCACGCAAAAACATCAAACAAAATGGAAAATGAGGGATCAAAAGTAATGAGGCCATACTGAAACGAGCTAAAATCTATGTTGTGCAGATCATTACGGTGAAAATAACGATCAAGCTACGTTAAGTGGCAAAGGAATTACTTCTGTCACCGGTAATGAAAAGAGTCATGAGTCGATTTGAGTCATTAAAAATGGCCATACGAATCAACTGGAACATTCTGAAATTATCACTATCATTACCATAGTATAGAACATTATTACAAGTCGTTTGATACTTAGTAGGTTTATCATGCTGCTATGTTACATACCTTAAAAAGCATTACCAAAGGGGTAAATCCATTTAACTGCATGCATCATCATCAACATGGAAATGTTGAAAGTCCTCTACCTTTGTTTCAGTAGCATGGAAATACATCCAATCAAGTGAACTGTGTTATGTGAAAGTTTATCTCTGACAGAAAGGATGCCTAGGATAAGTAGAGGAATAAATAGATAATAAGGTTGCGTTCGATTGGGAAATCTGGATTTAGATTTTGAAATCTGGATTTCGGATGTTGCAATCAAACGCGAAATCCAAAAACGGATTTCACCTCTGAGAAATCCGTCCTCAGGGTGGATTTCAATTTAATAAGAAATCCAAATCCGGATTTCATGGATTTCCCTTTTACCGTTCGATTGGGAAATCTGGAAAAAGATTTACAAAACTATTCTCGTGAACAGCGGTCTTCTTTTTACTAATTATGCGTGCGCATGCAAGACTGCTGTTCTTAAGGACAGTTTTTCCAATCCTTGAAAGGAAATCCAAAAACAGATATCCCAGGGTTTAAATCCGTTTTTGGATTTCGGGTTCGAATGCAAATTCGAAATCCAGATTTCAAATCTAAAACCAGATTTCCCAATCGAACTGCCTTCACTGTTTTTCATCATTACCGCTATTTTAGGGATAATGCTTCATATAGTGATACATACAGAATATAAATGCTACAAAAAGGGTTGCACATGTGAAGAGGTATTCTTAAATGAGGTACTCTAGACTTAAAACATTACACACCTATACCGGCCAGGGATTACAAAAAACACACACACAAACTTGTAACCCATTTCTAGAGCTAATTATATACTCAATCAATTATTATCCCCTTAGTTTGCACTAGTCAGACGTTCACAAGAGAAAAGCAAGACAGCTGTCTTAAACTCTTGGTTGCAAAAAGTCTTTCTGGTCCACAGTCTTTAACGGCACGTTGATTGTGCATACAAGTTTGTGCCCTCTCAAATCCAAATGAAAGAGAGGTTAACTTTGCGCTACCTTACTCATTAGAGCTTTGTAAGGAGATATTGGGCGTGATCCATTCAAGCAAAATTCAGACCAGTCTGACCATGAAAACTGACCCACCTCAAAAGGTGGACCAGTTTTTTCGAAACTTTTCCGCTTGGACTGAACCCGATCCATTGAGTTTTGGACCGAAATTTCCAGAAATTTTGGTTGAATGGATCGCGCCCATCATATACACAACAGTCATCAGAAAAAAGTGAAAGAATTGTATATTATTAAAAGATAAATACATGTCACAGCTGCTGTATAGCACATTAGTTATATATATTAAATATATTAGTGTACATAGCATTTTTTCAAAAAATATATCAGTCAGATTGCCTCTTTGTGTTAGCAATTTTAGTTCCTTTATTTTTGTTATATGTAGTATCCAATTTGAAATTGTCATAATAAAACAGAGAACATAAATTGCATGTTATCAGTCTTGGGAACATTATTTTCTCGGACACACTTAAAGGTATTTCATCCCTCATTTACAAGATAACTACTCCTTCTCTCCGTCTCTGGTCCATTACCATGTAAAATTTGTTTACGACGCTAAAAAAGGCTTTATCCAAGTATCCAAGTATTCTTGTTTAGTCTGCTATGGATTGATCAAGCTCAAAACCTATTCTTGTTATTCTTGAAGTTTATAAAAAGTTGTATCGTCCATGGCTGGCCATATAAAGTGTTCAAAGAATGTAATATTTGAAGATTTTCCACAAATGGAACAGTCCATTATCCTGTTATAGACATGCACGTTACAGAAGGCCTGATTTGAAGAGGGCTTTTCTTGACTTTTTGAGCTCCCCACCACTCCCCTGACCCTTGGTAAAAGGCAGGATTAAACAGATACCGATAGGCCATTTCCAAGTCCTAAATACCTTCAATTTCAAAGGAAAGCAAAACCTTTCTTGTGATTATGACTTTAATTTACATTTGCATATCAATGGCTTTGCACTTGGCCTCAGGCCATCCCCCTTTTCAAGATGGCCGAAAATATGTAATCCGCGCAGCTAGCTCGATCGTTTGCATATAGAAAAAAGTTATGTTTTTCTTATTTTGTGGGAAAAAACTTTAAGGTTAATGACCTACTTACCAATTCCGAAAGCTGACTCACAGGTAACCCAGGCTTTGTGATAGTACCACAGTATGGTTCCAGTAAAATTACAGTGTTTGTATGGGGTAAAAATACCATCCTAAAATTTCGAGGAAATACTAAATAAAGATCAATGAAACTTACTCTGCAGTTAATTGTTGTTGTCCTTATTGCTCCAACGAAGTTTCGTGATAATTTGCAGTAATTTGTTCAAATTCACTCTATATACAATAATAATATACAAGGTAGGAAACACGAGGTGCCATTTTCGCCGACATGCTCTCATTCAACACAACTTTTTCCACGAAATTCGAACTCCAACGGAAAATAAACATGCCAGGATCGTAGAAATAGGATAGCAGCAGATATAGAAACCAATGAAGCTTTCCCAGATAGAGAAACGAATCCCACAGACTTTGACAAACTCGAAGAATATAATCCAAACACACCGAGAATACGCTCGCCGAAGCAGCCGGGCCAGATCAACGCGCGGCCAAGAAAATGAGGCCTGGGCACTGTACAAAAAAATTCCATCCCGGGAGTCCTGGGGTGACCTTTCTAGGGACCGATACATCATTTGCCCAAAGCCACCCTCCCCTGCTGGAAAAATATTTGATAGAAGGCAATTGTTCTTCCTAGCCAATCACAATTTGCCAGAGCAAACCCCGCACACGCGCCTAAATTTAAATGGCTAAAAAAAAAAATAATATAACCAGGAGAGTCTGCGGAGTTACAAGGCGCCCCATTTCTTTTACTAAGGAATGCAAATAACAGTAATGAAACTAATGAAATAACAACGCGAAATACTTACAAGGCGGGCTAAAAACAAGGTTGAACAAAAGGTGGATGATGACTAAGATACTGTTGCTGTGAACTCTCGAGCGAAACTATCGTAAATAAACGGTGAAGCTTACAAACTAATGTCAAAAATTATACAGAAAATTGCGACAGAATATGAATTGCGATAACTGAGACGAATGTGAAAGGCACGTGCACCAGTAAACAAAGAACTAGCGCGATTAACATATTTAGCGATTAATGCGGCAGTAACACGCCGACTTCTTGTCAATACAAGTGAACGCTCTATCGGTTAAATATGTGAATCATCGTGATACACCTCTCTTTGAATTTGGTCCTGTTGTACAAATGCCTCGGTAAGAGCCAAAATTCACTTATATCTTTTGCTCGTTTTAAGTTTTGTAAATCGTCCTTCGTTGTTCTTTCCTTTGCCCCTATAACCTTGCCCTATTGATGTTTGATAAACTTTCTGAGGACCAGCGCCAGGAGCTGAATATAGTTCGAGAGGAAAATAATCTCTTTATAACAGGCCATAGTGATTGGCTAGGAAGAACAATTGCCTTCTATCAAGTATTTTTCCAGCAGGGCAGGGTGACCTTGGGCAAATGATGTATCGGTCCCTAGAAAGGTCACCCCAGGACCCCCGGGATGGAATTTTTTTGTACAGTGCCCAGGCTTCATTTTCTTGGCCGCGCGTTGATCTGGCCCGGCTGCTTCGGCGAGCGTATTCTCAGTGTGTTTGGATTATATTCTTCGAGTTTGTCAAAGTCTGTGGGATTCGTTTCTCTATCTGGGAAAGCTTCATTGGTTTCTATATCTGCTGCTATCCTATTTCTACGATCCTGGCATGTTTATTTTCCGTTGGAGTTCGAATTTCGTGGAAAAAGTTGTGTTGAATAAGAGCATGTCGGCGAAAATGGCACCTCGTGTTTCCTACCTTGTATATTATTATTGTAGATAGAGTGAATTTGAACAAATTACTGCAAATTATCACGAAACTTCGTTGGAGCAATAAGGACAACAACAATTAACTGCAGAGTAAGTTTCATTGATCTTTATTTAGTATTTCCTCGAAATTTTAGGATGGTATTTTTACCCCATACAAACACTGTAATTTTACTGGAACCGTACTGTGGTACTATCACAAAGCCTGGGTACCTGTGGCTGACTGAGCATTTTTCCAACGGCCGAAGAGGAATTGCAGACTGAAAATATATACCAGACATTTTCGATCTCCTTGTCCGCTCATCAACAACAAGCTGCAGTAGCTACTCAATTTCCCGCCAAGTTCAAACCGAGGCTCGCATGACTCAGCCCCAGGGCCCGATCGGCTGACTTTGCGGGTCTTGAGAACTGTTCCTATAGTTTCTTTCACATTTCTTCCTATTTGCGTACATAAATACGCATAATTTAGGCGCATGACCCACATTAGGCCAAAAAGAAACAAACAGGAAAACCAAGCAAAGAAATTCATTTGGACACAATCCCAGGCGAAGATACTAACCTTAGTTGAGGTGGGACTCGCCCTGCCTTTCCATGATGCAAAGTCAGCTTTGAAGAGAGTACAAGTAAACAAATATTCCTCTCATCACAATCTCTAACTTTTTCAACATAACCTTCCCTATCACATCAGTAAATACGCGAAAACGCGCCAATGAATTATTGTACAAAGGTTAT